CATGGGGAGGAGAGAGGGGGGGAGAGGGGTGAGGTTCCCTGGTGAAAGAAGAGATGGAGAGAACAATCCTGTAAATAACTCCTCACCCACTGACTCTTCAGCTGCCGGACCACAGTTGGTTGAGGGATAAACAGAAGCTTTGAAGCTGCGTCGTCCGCTGTGGCGAGCGACTGTGATGACCACATGACCTCCGGGCCGACAGCTCAGCGGCCGATCAGCCGAGCGGGAAGGCTCCGCCATGTTTGGAACGTTAGAAACAAAAAACGTGCCGAGATGCAGATTCACATTCAAAGGTCGTTCTGTTTAGATGGACGACGTGACAGATGTCCAGATCTCCCCCTGGTGGCCGGCTGTGGTATAGGTCATAAACCCGGCCTCCTCCATGTTAGCAGATATGAACCGAACTAGAGCTTTAAAGTCATTGTAGGTCGTTCCTTGTGTTCTGACATCTGAGTTTTTAAGAAGTTTTGAGTTGACGCTCCTCTGAGGACCGTTAATGCTTTCACCAAAATCTAATCACGACATTAAAAGTCCCGGTTGAGACAGTCAAAGTGAGGAAAAGACCAAATGATCAACAGACGGGATCCACTGAACAGAATCACAGACACATACGCATCAACATCTCTTATTTAAGAACAGACACCACGGCTACTGATAAAGATAGAGACGATAAAGTATTGAGTCAGACGAGGACGGAGCCGGTATCTTTCCACCGGCGGCTCTGGCGTCATGAGGCCAAATATAGCTGGATAATGCAATGGTAATTGATTTCACAACCAGCTGCCTTACATAAGCGCTTCAGCGTGAACAGAGAATGTGAGAAAGAGAGGGATGAGGACAGAGACGGAGGATGAGGATGGTGTGAAAAACCCGCTGAGGGAGGAAGAAGTGAAGCGACAGGGCGGCAGCGGAAAGAGAGAAAAGACGAGTGATGGGAGAAGGTTTTAAAAAAAGAGCTGTCAAACAGAGGTGATGAATCCGGAAAACTAAAAGAAGTGGAGAGAGTCAATAGCAGAGACACAATGCCTGCTGGGAAATAACACTTTTATCCTCTTACCTGCCGACTGGCTTTTCTTCAAAATAGTGTTTGTACAAATAGTTTATCAAATCAATAATTAAAACACGGAGGAGGGAGGGGTTAACTTCTACTTATGTAAATAACTTGTTGCACATCACAACATGTCCTGACATTTATGCACAGACAGTTTTTCTACTCGCTCATGCAGTCGTCCAGGCAGCGGGAGGAAGAGAGGTGCTGATGTTTGGTCCGTTCTCAGAAAGGTCACCGACAGACATTTAATAATACTGTCACAGCAGGAGGGAGCGAGGGAGGAGGGGGAGGAGGGGGAGGAAAGAGGAGGTGAAAGTGAAAGGAAGTGTTGATGACAGATATTGTTTTGATTTTGTTGATTCCTCTGGAAGTGTTCGCTCCATCAGGAGGTCCCGTAGACTCAGGGCTCTGGATCAGGGGGCAGATCCAGGACATTATTTCTTGTTGCACGATAGTTTTTCCAACAGAGAACTTTGATGAAAAACATCGACTCCATGAAAAACATCCTTCCTCACACTGCAACACGAATCCAACGCAACCTTCTAATGAAGGCAGAGCCCTGAAGCTGTTGTTGCTCTGCTCAGTGTTTTTGCTGCAGGCTTGTGCACATCATCCACGCTGCTGCTGCCGCTGCTGCTGCCGCTGCCTCACCTGTGCTCTGTAATGTCCTGTGCACACATTAAAAAAGTCTGCAACAGCAGCAGACGTATATATCTTCTCTGCTGCTGTCAGCGTTTCCCGACCTCCACCTCTCAACAACGCGGCTGAGATCTCAGCTGTGACTTTTGTTGGTGCAACATTTTACATTGAGCATAAATGAACCTTAACAACTCTATAAAGAATAATTCCTGCTGCTTTTACTTCTCGTCCATTTCAAACAGTGTATACCTCACATACTTATCATCCAGTCATACACCCACTAGAGGGCAGAGCAGAGCGCAGAGGTTTTGATAAAGACAAACATGGCGATGGTGGAGGAGGACGTGATGATTTTCCTCGTAAGAAAGACGCAGAAGCAGCCATGTTGTAAACGGCGCTGGTCCAAATTATCGACGAAACAAATCCCACCATCGTTGAAACTGTGGTCGTCTTTATTCATCTGAATGAAACAGATCTGTCATCGTCATGTTTCACTCTCAAGCAAATGTAAATCATTTTCATTGTTTTCACACTTTAAGGCCTTTTGAAGAAAAAGACAAAACTTGTAATTTTACATGAATAACATAATAATATTATGACTCAATCCTTGTTGTTGTAATATTATTAATAATATATATCATTGGTGTCATTTTGGACTTTATTCTTATGATAACATGAGTTTTTTCTCGTAATCTAAGTTTTGTTTTTCTTCACATAGCCTCAATACTTGTAAAACACAGATAGTACTGACATTATAGTGTAATTTAAGAAGTGTGTGTGTGTGTGTGATTGCAGGTTGCTGACCAGGATGGCGGGGATGAAGGAGCAGCAGTTCACGGAGGAGAAGCCCCTGCTGCCGGAGCAGAGAGGAGCGGACTCAGACATGGTCAGTCCTCCTTCTGTGTTCACCCTGTGTGGTTCTCACCTGCTGATGAGCGAGCACAGGAGGAAGCTCTCTGAAACCTCTCGGTGCGGAGACACGTTCGTGCTCATTAGCTGAGATCTGGCTGATAATTAGACGATGGAGCTTTTTAACTGGTGGAAAGATGAAGAGAGAGAGAGAGAGAGCGGTGGAAGAGAGTAAGAGCAGCAGATAGAGAGCAGGCAATATATGTGGTTATATAAAGAGCACTTATTCCTGCAGTTCATCCATTACCTCAGCAACAGGCCACAGCTGAATCAGGGGCTCTTCAGTGTTTGAGAGCTTGTTGTTGCATGAATTATGGAAACGATGGCGTCTTCCTACAAGATGTATGTTTTAAAAAAGACTCATTATCTCCTTAAACTTTTCAAACAGCCATTATCGTCTGTTTCCTGATTCCTGAGACGCATGTGAGGGTCAGACTTCATCATTTGCTGAGCAGCGTACGGAGCCCGGAGCCACCAGACGCAGTCTGAAGGTTATGAGTCAGAGTAGAGTCAGGGTGTTTGATCCAGAACATTCAAACAGAACAGATGCATGTGAAGTCTGAATGGTTAAAACATTACGATCTGATTGTTAACGAGCAGGAACGATTCTCCTGCTTCTGTCAAACCTCTTGTTTCTGCCGGAGGAATCAACGAGAGGTCAGGTTTTCATTTCTCTGATTGAAAAGCTTCCTGTGCTGCATCACTTTAAATGTCCAATCCCATATTGATCGGCTCGTGGAGCAGAAGCTCGTTAGGTCTGCTCGTTATGACCCGCTGCCCGTAAACAATCCAGGTCATCGGCTGCTGCCCCCATCGATCCTGTGGCATGTTTGCGTGACTCATCGCGTCGCTGGTTTTCATTGTTCTGCCGAAGACGACTTCGCGACACGTGTTCAGGTTTCTGTCCTCCCTCTCTCCCCTCTCCCTCTCTCTCCTCCCCCTCTCTCCCCTCTCTCTGTGTTGAGCGTGTTAGTGACCTTTAAGATCAGTTAACTGAGCGTTTACCTCCCGGCTCTAAAACACGGTGTAACTCACATCATGTTGGAATAAAACTGTCCATGGATATAAAAACACTCGTCCTGCTTTCATTCTAAAACAACAGCTCCTCAGTCATCACACGCTCAGCAACAAGAACTAAATACATAGTCTAACATACAGTTTATATCATTATTGACAATAAAATAAAATTATTATTTGATATTCAATGATTTACATTGTGTGTAAACAGAAAAAAATATTTTCACCTTATTAAATTATTTTGGAAATAAAATCTGAACAATCTGGTGAGAACTTTTCATCTCAGCTGCTGCTCAGACTTTTCACTCTGAAGTTCTTATTTACAGTGTTTCTCATGTGACATGAATGCAGCAGGATGCAGCAGGTTCCTGGATTTAGATTTGAATCCAACACGTCCACAAACGGCTTCTGTCTCCAGGACGACGTCAACGATCTTCAGTTTGATCTTTGTCACGATGCTGGAACAGGAGACTTGATTTGAATGTTTTCCTTTGACCTTCATGAAAATTCAGCGTCGGAAAATGAATCAACATCACTTTTGTTTTTCTTGAGCACAAGTTTATTCCCGAATAACCACTTTGTTGTTCTTGTTGTTTCAAGACACAGCAGGATAAAGGGGATGAGGCCTCGGGGGGGCTCCCCTGTCCCGCCAGCCCCACGCATCTTAACCACCCCTCTCCCCCCAGCCGCCCCGCTCAACGCTGGCATGTCATCGCACGGCACTGGCTCCGCCAGACCCGCTGTCGGACCAGCGGGGTCATCCCGGTAACTACCAGATCCACCGGAGCCAGCGGAAACATCAGGCTGGCAGCGTCAAACACACACAGACACACAAGTTCAAATTCAGACACAGAGAAATCACTGAGCGCCACAGAACACAATATATTTATCCATGAACACGGCTGCTGTCGACTTCTACTAGAGAACTGCCAGAGCCTGCACAGACGCAAAGCAGAGACAAGGATGGAAAGGTTGTTTACAGTAACACAGTATTTACTTAAAGCAGCACTGTGCAACTTTCACTGAGCAACAGCGCCCTCTGCAGCCACATCCTGGACACGCGCCTGTCTACAAACCAATCAGAGTCAAGTCTAGGTACACTCCGCCCACGTAGGTGATGACGACAGGACGTATGTTCGATGTCAGACAAAATTCTTTAGTCACTAAATTACAATGTGAAACTCAAACAGATCAAATGAGGACAAACACATGAAGCGTCAGACTCAGTCGACCATCGATCCTTGTCGACCTGACGGGTTCAGTTCAAAGCTGCTGCTGGTTTTTTTAAAAAACGCTTTAAAACTAGGCCAAAATCTACATTTGCAAAAAAAAAAAACAGCCTGCAGACACGTTCTCATCAGATCAGAGACAAAAACACATCCTGACAGAAGAGGAGGACGCACTCCGTCACAGCACACACGCTCATCAGTCGTTTCTCTGGAGCTGCAGCACTTCCTCTACATGCAGTGTGACGGGGGGTGCGAGTGAGAGGAAAGAGTGCCACCTGCTGGTCCGACCACCAAACTGGCACCACTGACATTTTCCTCCTTGCATGAACCTGCAGGGACTGAACCCGCTCAGATACAGCGATATTTAACATGGCAGCTTCAGTCCCTGTTGTTTTTCTCTCTTTAGACGCGTCCCCGTCCTGTTTCCTCTAAATAAACTCTTCCTTTCTTTAATCCAACACTGTTCCATCGTGTCTGTACAACCTCCATCTTTAATCCTGACATATTTTCTTTTCAGAACCCCCCACCCCCCCCCCACCCCCATGAACTCACAAACTACACCTGTGCATGTGTCACGAGGACGCCGTGTCTCCGATGGTTCTTAACCTCACGTGCATGTCCATGCGTGTTCTGTCCACATGCTCCTGCTCTGTCCTGAGCTTGACAAAGACGGCGGAGCAGGAACACACTCGTCAAACACACGTGCAGAAGTAACGGGTTAAAAATAACCGGTTTTACTTCAGCACATTTCTTCTCAAATGGAGAGTTTAGATCATCATTCCTCAAAGAGCGAGATAAAAAACAAAACGTAACGCTGCAGATGAAGTAATAAATAAAAAGTGATTTGTCCGACTGAAGCCGGCGTCTCAGCGTCTGTGAATGTTTAAATTTGTTCTGGCTAAAAATGTTTTTAATCCCTGAGTTCATTTTCCGTCGATGTCGGTTGAGCTGATTTACTTTGGGGTGAATCTGGAGGCTGAACTCTCTTTAACCCTGAATAACACCTTCCTTCCTCACTTTATTTATTTTTTCTAGCACTGATTCGTTCCCACTCCCCCTCATGTACTTTACTTAATGATCTCGTGTTCTAGAATCAGACTTTCTGGCCTAACAGGTGTATTTCGCAGCCAAACTAATCTATTAAAAATACTGGAAACTAAAAGATGTTTTTAAAGTGGCACTTATTTATTATCATCACGTCCAGATAAAATCACACTGAAGTCGTTTACATCATGTGACGTGAAACTTTAGTTCTCAAAAGTGAAGCCACATCTCCGGGGTCGCCCCCTAGTGGCTGGCTGCAGCACAGGTCGTTCGCCCTGCCTGATAGAACATGAACAGTTTGAACAAACTGTTTTCAAAGATGGTGTCCGACCATTTTTCTTTTCAGATGTTTACCAGGGTCACGAGGAAAGCATTTTATTTTTTGCATCATGGGAAATGTAGTTCTTTCCCATGTGTTTTGGGCGGTTGGCTCAGGTGCAGTAATAAATCGGGTGCCACTTTAAACACACTGAACGAAGTGAACCTATTGAAACACATATCATTGTGTATGTGTACGAACAGGTGAACTTGTCATGCGTTGGTGTTTTTGGGTGTTTGCTGTATCTGTGGTTTGGACGGACTCAGTGCAGGTCGTGGTGCTCCTCTGTGGACGCTTCCTGTGTGTGATGACAATGTGTCTCAGCTGTGTTTTAACCTCCGTCTCTCAGTCTCCTGTCTCTGTTTGTGTGTCTGTGCAGGAAAGCTGTGAACAGCTGATGCCTGCAGGAGACTGGAAGGTAAGAGCTGCTTCTTCTCTTTTTATCTTTTAAAAACAAACCCTTCATTTACGGGTTGAACGTGGCTCGTAGCGCCACCTAGTGTTTTTAAACCTTGCTCACAACCGTTTGGGACGTTTCTCTACATCCTGACATGAACAAACTGTGTGTGTGTGTGTGTGTGTGTGTGTGTGTGTGTGTGTGTGTGTGTGTGTGTGTGGCGTCTCGAGGCAGTTTTGCATTTTCATGGAGAGACACAAAAAACTTAAGGGTGAAGTTGAGATTTTGAGAGGAAGTGCTGCAGGTAGATGAACTGAAGGAAAGTTTATGAATGTAAAACTTCTGTAAAGCTCTTTGAGTCGTCACCAGGCAAGAAACACAGACTAGAAATAACTACAGACGGAAAAAAATCATTTCACAGTTTAGTGGAAAACATTGAACCTGGATGTGTGCAGAGTTCTAATGTCATCACAAAGTATTTACAATACTTTAAAGTACAATTTAAAGTTTTAAAATCTTCAGGGACACTGGTCGACTGTTGATGACGCTGTGTCTGGGACCGTTTACAAAGTGGAGACAGCCGCTTAAGTTCCTACTCGTAGGAATATATTTAATAAACTCTCTAGTTTCAGTATGTCTTCCGTCCATCGGGCAGAAGTTGTGAGTTTAAAACTGAAGAGAGAGAGAGAGAGAGAGAGAGAGAGAGAGAGAGAGAGAGAGTTAATGTCCTCTGTGAAAGAAAAGAGGCAGAAAGAGAACGAGAGAGCGTGAAGAGCGTCGCTGTGAGTTGAGTCAGCACGACGAGTGTTCTGTCAACAGGACGGAGGGAATAGAGAGAAAGGAGGGGATAGAGGAGAGACGGGGGGCTGCTGGATGACAAAGTGTGTGTGTGTGTGTGTGTGTGTGTGTGTGTGTGTGTGTGTGTGTGTGTGTGCTGCAGTCAGCATGACAGTCACTCAGACACCATCGCAGTCGTGTGAATCTGCACGTACACTTCTCATCCTCACTTCATCTCAGGTGACGAAATGTTAATTAACGGATGAAGATGAATAAATGACATGAAGTTGAATCTAAAGGCTCCGTCGAAATGTTTAAATTGCTTTTATTTGACTTCCTGGTCCTGAGAGTTCTGCAGGTTCAGATCCTCTCATTGTTCTTTTCCACAAACTATATTTCTGTTGAGGGAACTTGTTCCATCGAGCTCATCGACCGTAAATAAAGATGGATGACGTGTCTCCACTTCCTCCCCCCGTCTAGAAACGGAGCCAAGATATCCAGGATACGAACGAGTGCGTGGAGACGACTTCACTTGAACACACAGGGACCATCTTTTAGAAATCTTTATTTAAAATGGGCCTAGATTCTTTAGTCTGGTCCCATCTGCTAACATAGAGGAGGCAGGGTTTGTGACCTGCACTGCAGTCAGCCACCAGGGGGCGATCGAGATGCTTCGGCTTCAGTTTCGAAGAGCCGTCATGTCGTCCATCTTTATTTACAGTCGGAGATTGACGCCGCTCTCCATCAGTTTTACCAGAACGTTTAATTAACGTGAGTGTTCGATGCAAAACAGAGACACTGACGTTGTTCTCATTTAAATATTGATATTCATTATATTTTATAATCTAAAATATATAATATATATATAATACACATTGTCTTTCTCTTAAATCACACACCCTGAACAGGTTTCTAAAAAACCCTCTGTCAGGAGGAGACACTGGAGGAAGATCCAGAACTGATGTGAATCGCTGGCTTTGTTATTCTCACAGATTTCTCAGAGAACGATTCTTGAATGTTGATCAGGAGGAATCAGACGTATTCAGAGGACTGATGTCCACGGGTTTGTGAAGTGAAGGGACTGTTGGGCCTTGGTCGGAGGTGTGAGCTCTTCTGAGAGACGCCTCGTTAATACGAACAGCAGCGTGTTTTGTTTTTTTGCCAAAAGGCTTCAACAGAACGAGGTTGATGATAGAGAGAGAGAGAGAGAGAGAGAGAGAGAGAGACTGACAAGACAGCAGACCAATCCTGAGGGGGAGACGGAGCGGTGAGCCAGTCATCTGCAGCCTCCCCCACCCCCTGTCTGTGGTTCCTATAAAGGGTGAGGGGAGGGAGGAGGGCAGCAGCTTAACAGGGAGGGTGGGAGCCGAGCACACAAAGACACTGCAGCATCCACTCTCCAGCTCTGCATCCGAGAGCGAGCGCTCACCAGGACCTAGTCCCTTAAAACAGGAGAGGCCTGGCTGCTCGTCTTCCTCCTCCTCCTCCTCCTCCTCCTCCTCTTCATCAGCTGAGAGTACAGTCACTGCGGAGCCATGCCTGAGTGCTGGGATGGGGTGAGTGGCAGGGAAGCAGTGCATGATGGATCCTGTACCTGAGTCAGAGAGAGAGAGAGAGAGTTTGAAATATGGAATTTAAACATTTGGGGGAATCTGGTGTGAGATGAGTCGGAACAAATGTCTTTGTCTGATGATGATGATGATGATGATGATGATGATGATGTTTATCTTCTGTGATGAAGAAACTGCAGCGTCAGTGTCAGATCATGGATCATTCCTTCATCCATGACCCACTGACTCACTTACACATGCAAGCAGATGCTGTGCAATGCAGCAACACGCTGACCTCTGCAGATGAACACGTGCGTGTGTGTGTGTGTGTGTGTGTGTGTGTGTGTGTGTGTGTGTGTGTGTGTGTGTGTGTGTGTGTGTAAATCCATCTTTGCAACCTTGAAGGGGACGAGTGACGGTGTTTGTGTGAGGAGGGGAAGAATTATTTGAGGTGTGCAGCTCGTGTGATAAATAAAATCACCAAAATTGAATTATAGGAAGATTAAAAGATGCAGATTCTTATATTGAAAGCTGGATTTTGCTCACACACACACACACACACACACACACGTACACACAAACAGATGTTGTGAATGTGTGTGTGTGTGTGTGAAGGTCATCAGGGAACGTCACCTCATATTTCCCAGGATCCAGCTGCTCAGGCTGTGAAACGGCCCCAGACGAAGTATCTCTAAATTAGAGAGCTGATTGCAGATAACGCTGATGTTGATGCTGAAATAACAGAGAGATGATCTGCCTGGATTATCTGCTCACTGCTGTGTGAGGCGCGAGGACGTGCTGCCGCGGAGGATTAGGCTGAATTTTGGCAGCAGGGTGAAACAACCACAGTTTGTTTTTGTGCCGCGGACGTGAACGTGGGTTCACGCTGGAGTAAATAGACACAGGTGTCAGAATCAGCAGCAGAAGCTTCACTGCCCCTAAAACCAGCAGAGTAATCCCAAAATGTGTGTGTGTGTGTTTGTGTGTGTGTGTGTGTGTGTGTGTGTGTGTGTGTGTGTGTGTATGTGCGTGTGTGTGTGCGTGTGTGTGCAGCTACATTTCGCAGCTCATGGTGCCACATATCTCCTTCCTCCATTTTGAGTTTGTCTGCCTCTGACCAGCGAACGCAGACAAAATGTGGGTCATAACAAAAGATCATTTTTAAATCACGAGACGTCAGAAAACTTCATTTCAAAAAAGTGCAGACGACAAATCAACAAAAACAGAATCAACTTCTACATTATTTACATTTCTGTTTTTTCTGTGGCTGTTGGAATTAAACATCCTTCATAGATCATTTGAATTGTACATCTGAGTGATGGATCTGGTGTAAATATACACGATATACATCTTTCATTTAATGTAATAAATGTTTTGTGACGTCCTGGAACAGTTGTAAAATAAATCTGCTGCGTCACTGTTGTTCTGATGAGTCATCACATTTTTATCAGGCTTTTATTTTTCTTCAGATTTGTAATTTTCATTTCCATCCCTGGTTTTTCTCTGAGATCCAAACAGCCGTCACGTTTATGACTCAGACTTCATCATCGTCACTGTTAAATTTTACACGACGTTCTCTCGCTCTTTGTGTTTTTTGAAGATAGTGTCTCAATTGTGAAGGAGGGAGAAAAAAAAGAAAACATTGTGGGTGGACAAAGTCTTTGGAAATGATTTTCGAGATTTTCCATCAAACACCAAACAAAATAAATGAGATCTTTGCTTTTATTTGATCGTTTAGCTGCAGAAGATTAAAAGAACAGGAACCAAAAGAAAAGTCGTCATGTAACACAGACCCCAGGTCAGGAGCTGGTGGGATTTGCTGCTGAGGTGAATGTGGTTCAGCCTCTTTCTAAAACCTGATATTAGAAAACACAGAATCCATTGTTCCAACACGAATCAATTTTAATTTCCCTCCAGCACATTGAGCAGATGTGACTCCAGCTGCAGGTTCATCAGACGAGCTGCTCGGTGCTTTACTATGAAAAACACATAATTAATGGACAAGTCTCTGCAGCTCCAGGTTCAACTTCATTCTTCTGTCCTCATTTTCTATAATAAGAATGTGTTACTCCACATTTCAAACCATTTACCATTGAGTTATTGTCTGTTAAGTCAATTAATGTCCAATGAATTACAACACGTCTCCACTCGAGCTCCGGCAGAAGAAGATTAACGATGAACCGTCCCGAGGAGGGTTTGACCGGAGTTCAATAAAAAGCAGCTTCAAGGAACAGTGGAGATCATGGTTCACAGTTCTGTGTGTGTGTCTGTCTGTGTGTGTGTGTGTGAAGCACCAGGTGAGAATGTTCTTTGTGTTTCACAGGAACATGATGTTGAGACTCCTTATGGGATGCTGCATGTGGTGATCCGCGGGGCGCCCAAAGGGAACAAGCCTGCGATCCTCACCTACCACGATGTGGGACTGAACCGTGAGTACAGAGTGTGTGTCTGTGTGTGTGTGTGATTTTCCAGGTTGTTGTGTAAGGTGTTTCTGCACTTGTTAGAGGTGATAATTGGTGTTCATGCTACATTATCACTCCCTGCCTTCACTCTGCCAACACACACACACAGACACACAAAAGAAGCAAGTGAAAAATTAGTCATGAAGTTATTTTTCAAAGTTTAAAATCATTATTCATTAAATAGAAACTGGTTTTGTGGTTATAAAATCGTCTCTGAGGTCAATTTGAAAAGGCCACAGCTCATTAGCATCATCTTGTCCTCGTCCATCAAAAGGATGAAGTACATGTCAACGCTGAAAACACTCTCTGTGGGCAGTGATTTAATAAAGGAGGGGGGGGGTAATACAAGATGAACCCATGTGAAGAGGAGGATGAGAATAGAACAAAAACAAGGAGACATCGAGATGAGGCCGGGAGCCAAACAGGCTGCGACAGAAATACAAGAGAAGAGACGAGGAGGTGAGGATGCAAACGAAGGGGCGAGTGCGAGAGGCACCGATGAAATGTAGGTCAGAAAAACATCCTGCAGAGGGAGGCGGGGCGCGGCCAGCAGCAATGCAGCACCGATGGGTGGAGGTGGGGACGATGGGGACGATGGGGGTTTGGACGATGGCGTGTCAGGGACGGGAGCTGATCCCAAAACTGCAGATGTCAGATTTTAATGTTTGTCCTGCTGCGTCCTTTGTCCCGTTTGTTCTGAGTGTCACTAAAAAACGATTATGCGTCTTATTCAGGACAAATTCAATTCACGATGCAAAACACAGGGAGGTGAAATAAAATGCATTATCAGGAATTAGCTCAGGGTGGAAGTTGCTCTCGCTGCAGCACCATGAGGTGTTTAGTATTCATGACCTGTCACTCAATCACTCGACTCTGCTGCATGGACTCAGGACGGAGCAGCACTGCAAGGGAGGAACACTGGTCTGTAGTTTAGTGTTTAATCTATGAAGATATTTAAAATGAGTCCAAACAGCAGATGGACAAAACACAGAAGTAAAGACGAAGAACAAAGAGAACAAAGAGAAGAAGGGAGGAAAAAAAACAGAAGAAGAGATTAGAAGTGTGTTAGAGAGAGAAAGAATCGAAGTAACGCACGGAGGGAGGGAGAGGAGGAGAACAAGAACCGAAGAAGAGGAGAGGGAGGATTAGCGGGAGAGAGAAACAGAAAGTGCAAATGGAGAAAGTAGGTCACGGTGCAGACTTCATCCCTCGTCTCGCCGGTGATTCAGCACAAACGTGGGAGTAGTTCTCACCTCTGTCCTCAGGTGGCGCTGCAGCAGAGACAGAGCGCCTGCCCCTCTGGTTTGTCACTTCTGACCCAGTTGTCGTGTTAATTGGTCCGTTTGATTAACGCCGCTCAACCGGAGCTGGAGGAAACAATGTTTTACAGTCGGACACACACACACGGGTGGAAAGTAGGACATCTGCAGAGACATGTGTTAAACATGTCCCATCAGAGTCTCTCAGTTTAAACTGGTTCAGGGAATAGAGCTCGACGCTTTTAGAGGAATCCTCCGGGGGGGGTCGCTCTCGAAATAAAAGAGATTTAACTGGAATTAAAGTCTCGTAAATCTCTGTTATAATTTGAATGATGGAGGAACAATTTGAGGAAAAACCAACGAATGAGGTCGACCGAAGTCCTCAGAGACAAGTCTCACCGCTCGGCAGCCATCTTGGCCTCACGTCCCAGGCAGCTGCCTCCGACTTACAGATCTGATTAAATAAAAAACAGGAAGCAGCTCTCTGGTGTTCCAGGTTCACGAGTCGCCGGATGTTTCTCCACAGAAAACATTTGTTTCAGGTCTTTGTTGATCTTTGTTAACGGCTGCAAGAACAGACACAGGATCTGTGCTGTTTTAAACGAATCGGGGTTTTAACCTTTCATCCATATTTACTCTGACCGACTCCCTCGTTTCCTCTCCTCCCTCGCTCTCCGACAGACAAACTGTGCTTCAACACCTTCTTCAATAACGAGGACATGCAGGAGATCACCAAGCACTTTGTGGTCTGTCACGTCGACGCCCCGGGACAGCAGGTCGGAGCGTCTCAGCTGCCACAGGGGTAAAGGAACCTGAACCTCACGTCACACGACACCAAGCTGTTCTTCTTCTTCTTCTTCTTCTTCTTCTGCTTCTTCTTCTTCTTCTTCTTCTTCACTTGGTGTAAAAGTTTAAAAGCATCATGATCATTAAATCCTCCGTCTCTCCGCAGGTACCAGTATCCCACCATGGACCAGTTGGCCGGGATGTTGCCGACTGTGGTGCAGCACTTTGGGTTCGTGCTCTTTGTTTTGAAATTCAACGTTCTCTTTTTATTTTACACAACTTATCGTTAAGTCGTTATAAATTGTATATATATATATATTTATGTGTCTTGCGAACAGGATGTGATTTGTCTGAGAAGCAGATGAACATTTATTTGAGCATGAATTGACAGATTCAGTAACTTTCCTTCACTTTTAAAATTCAGCCTCTAACAGATCATTGATCTTTGTAGATTCAAGAGCATCGTTGGGATCGGAGTGGGAGCCGGAGCTTACGTTCTGGCCAAGTTCGCTGTGAGTCGGATTCAGATTCAACCGCACATCTTCTAAATGAGCCTCGTGCTAAAAGAAAGAAATATAATTTAGATGTGATATATTCTGAATGGAGGGATCCTCTTGAATCTGTGTTCTCTGCTCTCAGCTGATCTTCCCCGACCTGGTGGAGGGTTTGGTTCTGCTCAACATCGACCCCAATGGCAAAGGATGGATTGACTGGGCCGCCACCAAGGTGCTCGACTTCACCGGCTCACCGATCCAGAGGCTCCTTTTGATTCCTCACCATAATAATCTCCTCTGTTGTTGCTCCTCAGCTGTCAGGTCTGACCAGCACGCTGCCAGATGTTGTGCTGCCACATCTCTTCAGTCAGGTACGTTCACGGCCCTCAAATAAAATGGGAAAACGGACGTTTTTTAAGTCCTTAGTTTAGTTTTTTTCATTTTGAGGTTAAAACAGACTTTAGAAAACAATATTGTGTGTGTGTGTGTGTGTGTGTGTGTGTGTGCGTGTGTGTGTGTGTGCAGGAGGAGCTGATGAACAACACAGAGCTGGTGCAGAGCTACCGACAACAGATCAACAACACCGTCAACTTGTTCAACCTGCAGCTGTTCTGGAACATGTACAACAGGTG